GAAAGTCAACAAAAACACCTTTTTTTCCAAAGCTTATAACTTGAGCATAGAATATCAAAATGAGATGAGACCAAATGGGTTGGTTATAGGACATCTCAAGCTTTCTAAAAAGTCCAAGAACACTTCCAAAAGGTCAAAATTGAAGAAGTTATGCATTGTTTAAGTTGGGCATTTTTGCAAAATTGCCAAAAGTCAACTATCCCCAAAACATCAAATTTTGTCAAATGGGCCCATTATTTTCCACTTGATTTGATCTTGTCACACTAAACACGTGTCCTAGCTTCATCCTCATGACCATTTATCAATTTTATTATTTAATTTGATTTTTATTGATTTAATTCATTTTTAATCAATTTAAATCAAAATAAAATCTCAATATTAATAACTTGTGATCTTTTTGATTGATACCGCTTTCAATTAACATCATGAACACAATCAAATTCGTGCCAAGCCATATCATGCACAAAATCTTGGATTTGGAAATAATTTGAAGGCCTTTAATGGAGGAATCATATCATATCCAAAGTCATCAATTCACAAGGATTCAAGGTCCAATTTTTAACCTAATTGCTTCTAATATACTCACACAAGCTAGAGCACACAAGAACACGACCTAGAGGCTGCTAAAAACACAATACCAAAACTGAAAAAAGTTTGAAAAAGTTGGAGATCAAAATCTTGTTTGGAGTCCAATTCAAGGCAAAAGCTCAACGCAGCCTTCTTGCCTGACATCCCCTGGAGCTAAAGCAACCGTCCACAAATCCTGAAACTACCTGAAACGCGCTGTAAGTGTCCATGAACATGGCCCTGAACACGAAATCACATCCTCTGATACTTGCATTCTTTCACCAAAATCTTTACATATTTGTGTTTGTCGCTTCATTTAGAACATTTTTGCAATATTTAATTTTTATTTTGGTAGCCTGTACAGCCATGCCCGAAGCTAGGGTTTTTGTTCTTGCTTTTTAGGCGTTTTGATTTCAGGAAGAATTGGGACAAATAACGGCCATGGTTGTGTTCAGGGAAGAGAGACGAACACGATGATGGTCTTAGTTTGTATTTATATGGCCTGGAATTCATTCTAGAAGCAAGCCACGGATCTTGTTGCGGGTAAAAATCCGCAGGAAAAAGTACAAGTTTTGTTGAAGAAGACGGAGACGTGGCTCGTCTTCATTGGCCCATTCAAATAAATCTCGCGCATTTTTTTAATTTCCAGTATATTGCTTGCGTTTCTTTTATAACATTATTTGTCCATTATAATAACAAACAGGCGCGTTAGTAGAGTTGGTAAGCATGTTAGTGGATTGTCCATTGGGACCTGGGTTTGAATCCCAGGTCCCCCAATATATTTGTTTAATTTTTCTTCAGGCAATTGCATGTGATTTCCAAAGCGTGGTCCACCATACTCCTCATCCCATCAGGCGCCAGATGGCCTCCAGGCCAAATCCAATGGCCAAGATTGAGCGCCTACCATGAACTCTAATCAACAGGCGCGCGTGAGATCCTGGAAAGTCAAACAGGGCTTGTATGAATTGGGCCAAACAATTGCTCTTCACACCCTGATCCAGGCCCAACACCCCCTTCTTTGGTTATTTCTTTTCTCTTTATATTTCTTTTATTTAATTGTTTTTGTTAATTTATTTTTTATATTTTCACTAACCAATTAGTTCTTTTTCCCATAAAATCAGAAAACCAAAAAAATATTATTTTTATTAAAATTAAGTTCACCTTTATCTTTGTAAATAAATTAATTCAATTAATTTAGTATTAATTAGGTTTAAATTTTAATATCTTTTAGCAAAATAATTAAAATTAATGTAGAATTAGGTTTTTACTAACTTTTAATCAAATTTTATTTTATTTTATTTCCTTTAATATCAAAAAGTCCAAAAATATTTTCATTAATTAATTTAATTGTTAATTTAGATCTAGTTTCTTTTAAATTCAAAAAATAACAAAAAAACATGCTTTCTTTTCAAAAAGGGTCAAAACCCTAAAAACTCGCCCAATTAAATTTCTCGCACGCGTATCGTTTTATCCAATATTGTAATTGCTTCCGGTATGTAATAGCTTTTAATTAGGATTTTAATTATTTATCGCTTTATTTTACTTTCCGCAATTTAAATTAAAGGGTTTGTTTTTGGCGATGTAAATACCCGACGCCTTGTAATAGTTTAGATTTAATTTCCACAATTTAAATTCTGCAACTATTAACTGTTAGATGTTTGATAAATAGGGAATGCATGACAAGATCAAATCTTTAACCTAAAATCAACATAGCTCACCCATGACATGTACAAAGATAAATAACTGAAAAACAATACACTCGCACATGCGCACTCTTAGGGTACACCTCACTTGGTTGCCTTCGAACGTGGTCATTGAGTATAGGAAGTCTTAGAGGTCTCCCTCTTGTCCAAATATCATAAGTTGCCCCGGATAAAATGATCTAAGACATTAGGGTTACCGCTATGGCGTCCTAACGTTGCTTTAGTGACCACACGTCCCTTAATCGAATTGACCCTTAAAACTCCAACGACGATGCTACCTACTCATCAAATGTGGGCTAGCATTATCTAAAGGACATTAGCACAGTTAAATTCCCTTTTCGAGTAGGTAGATGGTTCTTAAGTACTTGCTCTCTTTTAAAAAACAAAACAAAACTTTTCGCACTTACACCTTTTCAAACAAAAACTCTTCTCTAACCCACAAACACAAAGAAAAGCAAACTTTTGAAAACACAATGAGCAAGTACCTAAGAGCCCGTGGATAACCACGGATAGAAATGGTGCTAACACCTTCCCTTTCTATAATCTACCTCCCGAACCTGAGAAACATCTCGAAAAAGGAATTTTTCTGTGCTTTTTTCCTTTCCTTGTTGGATAAAATAAAAGATGGTGGCGACTCTTGCTTACCGCGACATTTTGCAAAAACAAACGCAAAACGCGAACCAGCATTCCAAAACAGTCAGTTCTCTTTCCCACCGATCACAGGCTGCAATACATGACACGGTATACCAAGAAATATAATAGGGATAATCCAAAGATTTTCTGCATTAGTAGGTATTGTGACATCAAATCAAATAAAGACCTTTAACCATTATTAGAAGTAACATATGCATATCTTTAATTCTATTTAAAGGAGAACATGTGTATGATATGCTTGCATTAGTATTGAAATCGTTCCCTCTCCATATCAGAAGGTTTTCTAAGAGAAACAGGTTGCATGTCTTCTCCAAGATTGAGTGGGTAAGTCTCAATTTCTGAAATTATGTAACCATTTTTGCTGTGTTATTAATATGGTTGCATGCATTTGTTTGAAGTATTATAGTCATTCATGATTTGTGATATCTGGAGAGATTTGTGCCACTAAACACCTCTCAACTTTATGATATGCTATGCAACATTAAGGAAGAGCCAAAGGCAGATTTATATGAGTCAGCTCCTGCCGATGTGTTGTTTCATGAAACCAATGATGCAATGAAGGAAGTGAAAAAGGAGAGCCTCGTTGGAGAACCTTCAAATCCAAATGCAGGTGTGGGAGAGTTGAAGGAAGAGATGACATGGTTAAAAGAGATAAGCAAAGCTGGAAAGAAGGGGAATCAAGTTTTTGTAATTAAGATCCTTAACTATATGACTCAATGAATTACATTATATATAATTTACATTTTTGGATATTGACTGTATGTGTTCTGACATGCAGCATTTCCCAGCTAACGTGATAGAAAATTTCCTCTGTCCCGACATTAGCTCGTGCCTTGTTAGGGATTTCCACACCGGTGAGTATCATTCATGCAAGATAATGAAATCTAACAGGAAAATATGGAAATGTACTTGGGAAAAGGGTGGTATTTGTATGCTAAGGGGAAAAAACTAAAGGTGGGAGGTACGCTTGCATGCACTTACAATTTAGATAAGGAAATCTTGTTTGTGAGGTTGTACCGAAAAGGTGAAATTCAGATGAAAGAGTAAAGTGGATATTATGTATGTTTTGGCTGGAAAAAAAGCAGGAGTTTTGTACCAAGTTGGGAATAATGTTATGTTCTATGTTTAGTTATTGGAATTATATAATGTTTGTGTTTAACTTTTTTATTTCGTGTTGTTAACACTTTGCTATTAGGGATGCACCGTTTCTGTAATGTATTGCTTTAATTTGCTCTTAGTATCTAAGTGGATAATTCTACTAAGTATCATAGTGCATCAATGCTTTTGCAAAATGTATTTCACAAGTTTGGTGTTCTTTTAGTTAATATTATAAACGAAATATGTTTCCAACAATTGCTTAATTCATATAGTCTATTCATCTTCTTACCATATAGCACATAATACATCTAAACATGTAACAATTACATTAACGGAATACTGTGGAAGATATAGAAACATATTATATTTGGAGGCAAATGATTGTATGTACATGCTTCTTCATCGAATTGCATGAAGTCAAATAAATGACTATTCATTTTGAAGGTTTTGTAGTGAAGTGTAAGATTTAAAGGGCATTTAGGCCTGTAATGAACGAAAAAAATAAAAGTTTTATTGATCCTGACATATTAAGATATTACTGAAACCACATAGTCATAGTGTATATGAAAAATAGAATTATTTATGAAGTTTAAACAATGTAGAAACTAAATGTTTGCTGACATCATTAAAAACATGATACAACTTCAATGAATTCACATATATATTGAAGTTGATGAAACAACATCAGTAAATGAGTATATTCAAAACAGGTTTTGCATTGGTTCGGCAAAACATACAACTAAAATTATGTGACAGTAATAGACTCGTATATACTTGGTGCACATAGCGGTATAACATCCAAACCAATTAAACAAAAATATATGATGGAGTTCGACAATCCTCATTCAAGGATATTAAAGAGATCAAACTGAAAACTTTTGAAACAGATCCAAAGTATTCAAGGCAAAAAACTACAAACAATCGGATTGGTTTCTTTAAAACTAACAATAGCTTAAAATAACATAAATGTGAATATAACTACTTCTCCTTCTTTATATCCTTAATTGACTTGGTTACGGAAAGTTGGACACTCTCAATATCTTCAATAGCATCAGGTAAAGTTCTTTTTGATGGAGTCAGAGTTGAATTTCCAACAGCAGGGCCATAATCGGCACCAGCAGATAAAGGTTCCTGCTGGCAATGTGGATATAATATATAAGCATTAGACATTGTATGTAGATATCTGTTTTATATATAGGGATCATGTTTGAATTAATAATTTACAGTAAAGGATATTGATTCATCTTGGGATGAAGGCTCAGTTGGTAGAAGCTTTGAAGTAGGCTGCCAAATACAAAATCATATCAGTCCAAATAAATAAGTAGTGATCAACAATGGTATTTTTGTGTTTACACTGAGATTACCTCTTCCGAGTTGAAACTCCCTCTGACTCTCTTACGGAAATCTTCATCAATTTTGAAACTAATGACGGAAAGTCTGCCTTTGTTAGGCTGAAAAACTGCCCTAATAGCCAATTCCTGCTTTAGAATTGCATCAAGTGCATAAGGGAATTCAAGAGGATCATCTTCATCGGCCTACATAAACACAATGAACTCTATTACAAAGTTTTTAAAAAAGAATCAAACTTAATAAGGTGTAACTGTATACCTCTATCAATTCATTTTTCATTTGAAGAACGGACTTCCCAATCAACTTGACGCAATCTTCGTTCCAAAAAATGAATTTGGCCTTGTATTTACCGTCAGCAGCCAAGACTTCAAGTTTATATCTATAAGTAATCATAAACCATGATTGTAATGCCACCAAAAATTTAACAACATCAATCGTAAATATAGATACAGACAATACCTTGGTATGGGCGCTGGGCTAATGTGTTTGGAATAACATACCAGCTTTCCATCCTGCAGTGACACACTTTTTGTGCAACCAACACATCCATCATAATACCAGCCTGACTGTCCAGCCTCAAATTTTTCCAAAGTCGCAACAGTAACACATGTAGTCTCCTGATAAAACGATGAAACCCGTAGTTAGTTTGATATGATGTATAATCACAATTTCACTATATAATGAAACATGTATTACATGTTGTAGAGTTGTTATTTCAGCAAGACTTAGAATTTCTGTCTTCCAAACAAACTTATCGACATCAGAATAGTATGAGTTTTGTGTTGTGTCCACTTGAAGACTTGATGAAGACAGTAATGGAAATTCAGACTGCAGACTGCATGAAATATATGACAAATGTTCATAACCAGTATAACAAAAATATGTTATACAACACGATAAATAAAATGATATCACTCAGCACCTGTCTCTGAGCTTGATAACTACATCAAGGGTCACATCATTAATTAGCAACTTTGTGTCATTCCAAGCGTTGGAGATGTTCAAAGGAAACCCTCCTGCAAGTTTCAGTCATTCTTTAGAACATACAACTGTATTGAAGCAGTGATTAAATTTCATGTTACATCAATCTGGATTCACATTTGGAGAAAAAACTCAAAATTTGTATGTGTCAAACCTTGAGCCTCCTTAATCCTGGCATTAATAAGCAAAACTATTATACTTCCATCTTCCTTATGACTTTTATAATAATCGTGAAATTATATGGCAAGCTGACCCAAAGAGTACATTGAACTTCAGATCTGCTGCTTTGTCAAACATATTAACATTATTAATATGATGATGTTGGTTAAATTAATGTAATAATATTATACAAAAAATTAATGGAAGCATACCTATTATCAGTAATTGAAAACACAACCTTGCTCTTTTTGTTATCAGCATTGATTTGAGTTTGAGAAATCTCGGTCACTCCTCCAAGAATATCTACAATAATTCATGTATTATATACTATATAGATTTATAGACGTCGGAAAACAAATATTCTATGAATTAAACTAAAGTCCACCAATAACATACCAACCAAAATATTAGACTGGAATTTGCCTTCAACAATGGCATCCAAATGAAGAATGTTCAGGTAATTCATAGGAATATCAAGAAGTTCAGCCTTCTTAACAAAAGTTGAGACACATAACACCAACTTGAAACTATGATTAGTCGACTTAAAAGAGAAATCATTGTTTGACACTTTGAAATTCTACATTACATATGAACATCCAACCGCGAGTTGCTCCTTAAATTTTGAAACCAAGAAGGGTGGCACAATGACTTGAATCGTATCTAACTACAATAAACGAACATACAAAGTTAGTTTTACCAACACCAATATTGCAAATACAAATTCATAACGGCCAGACTGATAAAATACCTCAGAATCAACCAAAATCATCTCAATGTGTTCCTTTTTTGATGCACTCGTCACAGTCCACAAATGCTTGAACCTAACAACAATCTTCCATAAATCATTTGACTCATTAATATCCTTCACAACTTCAATTGGGCGAGCCATATAGTTGATGTATCCTGTAACAACAACACAACAAAATTGGATGGATGAAAAGTTGAAACAATAGAAAAAATTGTAACAATAACATGAAATCATTTGCCCTCATCAGGATAAAAGAACCGTATCCTAAACCCTAAACAAAAATCCCCAATCTTCGAATGAGTCGCATCCAAATACTCTTTATCCATGTTCTGCAATTTACAGATCAATCAACATGAATTTAACCTAATCCTTCAAATTGGGGTTGAAAGAATCATCTTAAGATAACAAAAGCCAAGGATTTGGGGTTGAATGTGCATGTATTTGTGACAAAAACAGAATCAGGTATAAAGAACAATTGGATATTCACTACCTGAAGATTGAAAACAATTGGATATTCACTACCTGAAGATTGGGGAAAGGATATACTGCAGTTTTAAAGAAATACATTGCATATTTATGGCTGAGTCGCTTGAAAATGAAAGCTGTAAGGGCAGAGTTATCCATTGTTGGGAGTTGTGGTTTTGGAAGATGGAAACTTTACTCTATCATTAGAAACAGAAGAAGTGTTGTGCGATGGCTCGTCTTCTGCAATTTTTGTTATTCAAAAGTTATTAACATTATTAACAATAATAGATAATTATAATATTATAATATTATAATATTATAATAATATAAAATATATAATAACAATAATAAAAATTAAAAACAATGGGAAAATCTATTGGGCTGACACATCGGCGATATTAAATGTCAAAATAATATGGTGATAAGAGTACATCAAAAAGACTAATGCCCTTAAGAATTAGATAAATAATTAATTATAATCAGAGAACATTTAGTGAATTTCTAGATACTTTAAAGTTTATATATTAATAATAGAATATAACTATTAATTATATTACAAATTAATGATGATTATACATGTGAATTGTCGTTGAAGGCTATGAAATACTCCTTCTAATTGTAGTAGATTGTATTTATACATAATTTTTTAATTTAATATTAAATTAATTAACAATTATCAAATTATGTCTTTAATTATTTATTACAGAAAAATAAATAAATCTTATTGGACTTAAATTCACCGGACAGTCAGGATGGTGTTCGAGCATATTTTTATAGAAGAGTCTGAAGGTATCCAGGCTCCAAGCTGACATGAGTTCCCTCAAGTTGCTAAGTACACTCACTCGGTTTTCAACTTTCTAATCTAGAGTGCCAAGAAAATTAATCAGAAACTTTGAAGCAGTGTGCCTAGATTAACAGCTAATAACATACTGATATGGGACTGCTATAATATTAGTAGAGGAAAACTATAACAAAATTTCTAAAATAGAACTTACATAAACACTAATATGTTTACAAAAAAAATTCACAATAAACTCCTCGTCTAGCCTCATCCGTTTAATAGTTTCTTCTTTAATATATTTTTTTCTGCAATTAGAATTAAGGTTAAATAAGTTTTTGGTCCCTCTAAATATCACATATTTCGTTTTTAGTCCCCCTAAATATTTCCTTCAAAGAATGGTCCCTCTAAAATTTTCCGTCCACACTTTTGGTCCCTTCTGCTAACAGAGTTGACGTGGCACTCACACATGGTAGTGTCAACTGTCAAAGGCGCTGACGTGGCATGCCACATGGATACAATCAAGACCTTTAATGTCATGCGGCAATGCCACGTCAGCATCTTTGACAGGTGGCACTGCCACATGTTAGTGCCACGCCAGCTCTATTAACAGACGTTGGCAGGAGGGACCAAAAGTGTGGAGGGAAAATTTTAGAGGGACCGTTCTTTGAAAGAAATGTTTAGAGGGACTAAAAACGAAATCTGTGATATTTAGAGGGACTAAAAACGAAATAAAGATTATTTCATTGAATTGAATTATTACAAATTGGTATACAAAATAGTATATTTATATACAACTAACTTTTACACTAAGTAGGATAAAAAACACTAATTGAGTTTGAGTTTAGATTACGCAATTTGAATTAGAAATAATATTATATCTAATATTTTAACAACTTTAAAAAAGGTATTTATATTATTGAGTACACATTTTAATTTTTGACTTAGCACATTAATGTAAGACTTATTATATGAGATAAAATTTATACAATTATTTATATTCATATATATAATATAGAGTTAATATCTATTGTGTCTACATCATATTTGCGATTTTTGAAAAATTCTTTGATAAAAATAGTTTGAATTTCCTCTTTAACTTTTTAAAATTAATTTATTTTAACCCGTAAAAAAACTCAGTCAACAAAAATAATGACATTTACAACTTTCATCACTGTAGTATAATTTCTACTTCCATCAATGTAGTATAATTTCCACTTCCATCAACAACAAATGTCACATTAGCTATAACCTTTCCCTTAGTAATCTCTACAACAAAAGTGAAGGATGCAATTAAGAAGATCAAAGTGTAGAAGGTAGTTGTATAAGAATGAAACATGGTCATTAAATTAAACACTATTTTTGACATTTGAAGCAAATATAATGCATTCCTTCACAATTTACAATGATATATATTTTGGCATGTGACATTAAAAATTGGAATTGGTAAAACGTTCTATATAAGATAAATTTCTTCTAAAAAAAATCATTTGTGCACAATAGTCATATTTTATTCCTCGTTACAATATTGCAAGAGCTATATGAGATAAAATTTACAAAAATGATTTTGTCTACATATATAATATATATTATATATGTGGTTATATTATTATAAAAATTATTTATTTTTAAGTTATTTATATTATTAAGTTTACAAGAAAACTTATTATTGCACACTAGTGCAAGATTTAAATTCTTTATGATTTCTATGATTGGATGGGATTTATTTAAGTGATTTATTTTTTAATAATGTAAGACTTAATATATAAGATAAAATTCATACAAAATGATTATGTCCATATACATAATATATATTATATATGTGTCTATGTTATTAAAATATATTATTCACTTTAAAAGGTATTTATATTAGGTTCCCATTTTAATTTTGACTTGCACATTAATGTAAAAATTACTATATGAGATAAAACTTATATAATTATTTATGGTTATGTATATAATATAGGGTTAATATCTATTTTACTATTTTATCCCTACAATATTTACGATTTTCAAAAAATTCTTATGTAAAGAAAAAGTTCGGATACCCTTCCTAATTTATTAGGATTTTTTATTTTGACTCCTAAAGAAACTCAGTCAACAAAAATAATGACTCATAAAATAATGACTCCTGTATAAATATACTAGTTTGTACACAAATTTGTAATAATTCAATTCAATAATATAATCTTTATTTCGTTTTTGGTCCCTCTAAATATCACAGATTCCATTTTTAGTCCCTCTACACATTTCCTTCAAAGAATGGTCCCTCTAAAATTTTCCATCCACACTTTTGGTCCCTCCTGCCAACTTCTGTTAACAGAGATCACGTGGCACTCACACGTGGTAGTGTCAGCTGTCAAAGATGCTGACATGGCATACCACGTGGCTTTCTAGGTCTTGACTTTAGCCACGTGGCATGCCACATCAACACCTTTGACAGCTGGCACTGTCACGTGTGAGTACCACGCCAATTCTGTTAACAGACGTTAGCAAGAGGGACCAAAAGTGTGGATGAAAATTTTTATAGGGACCATTCTTTGAAGGAAATATTTAGAGAGACTAAAAACGAAATTTGTGATATTTAGAGGGACCAAAAACTTATTTAAACCTTAAAATTAGATGTGAAACAACTTAATTCTAAGAAAGAATTTTACACTAAGATCAATGCATCATTATCATTATCATTACATACTTATAAACATACAAACTTCAGGTGAAAAATACAAAAACAGAATTACCTCGACAATAGAATAAGATTTAAAGGAAAGAAGTTATGAATTATTAGTGTAAGCATAGTGTTCTGGGTATTGTAACCTTACTGATTCCTTAGCGTGTGTTTTTTTATTGATAAGGGCATGTTTGAATAAATAACTTATTTTGCAGTTTGTAGCATAAGCACTTATCATATAAGCGCTTATGAATAAGTTGTTTTTTTAACACAATATAAAATAAAAAGTAAAATTGTTTTATATATATTCTATAAGTTTTTTGCATAAACATCTTAAAAAGTATCGCATGTAATTACGCAAATAGAAAAGTTCAATCAAATAAACCAATCTAGACATATCCTAATCATCAAAAAGAAAAAGAAAAATATTCAAATGAGAATGAAGCTTCAAACCATTGCTCCAAAATTAGATGAAAAATCTAGCAGCACAAACACTGCCACTACCAGCACCAATATTAAACAAATCTAAGTCATAATCCTTCCCTTATTCTTCACCTATCTTCAAATCAGGTTCACCGTCATTAAGCATCTTTCTAGCCATCACAATCAAACTAAAACCTAAAATATCATCATCATCACCATCGTTAAAATTAAAATCTAAATTAAAATTAGGAAGCCAACTTTGAAGGAATTAAACCCATTTCTATTTCAATACCAATTGAGAAAAATAAGCTTTCCATGTAAGAACCAATTATAGCTAAATTACAAAAATATATCATGATACAAAATTCAACTACTTTAACCCTTGAGTTTATAAACCATATAGGTTTCTTTGCATGTGATCTAATAGGTTCAGTGTGGCATGTCACACAATTTAAACCATAAAAGATTTTATGCAGTAAACTTATAATTCAAGGAGAATGCGTCCGATAAAAAAACAACAAAAAATTAAGTGAAAACGTGCATCAAACAAATTGAGGTAGGTATATAAACCTGCAAGTTTGTAAGATTCCAAGAGTGAGACCAGTTATAGAATAGAAGAAAGACATGACTACTGCAACTATTGAGAGCCACCACATGTTAAGAAAAATATATGGAATTTGAGAAAAGAAAAGTTGTGCCACACCAAAAGCTATCATGTATGGGTTACCTGTAATGTGACATGGGTTTTCTCTTCTCCATGAGAAGGAATGGACAAAGTAAGACTTTTTGATTTCTCTATTAACAAAAACCAGCTGAAATCAAACAACACACATACACTATTCAACATATAACCATATATCATTAGAAAGAAATATTGTAAAGTGACAATGAACTACAACTACCGGGCATGTCAGTTATGTGGAACAATTTAGTACCACGCATGTCAGTTATGTGCTACAAATTTTAAGAGAATTAGAATATTTTAAAGTGTGATTTAAATTGATATGTGAACAAATTTCCACATCGGAAATACTTTAAAATATAGACGTTCAAAATTGTTTTAAAGTGTACTTACTTGCAATACCAGCTTAGGCCCTTGCTCAATCATGGAATCTAATGAGACAATTTTACGAACGACTGACATGCAAAATTCACAACGAAACAAAGTGAATCAAACGTGGAAAAATTCTAGAATCACAAAGTCTGTTAACAATAACAATAAGCATCAGCGATGTAGCACAACAGAAATCGAAAGAAAAAGAGCAAAGAAGAGGTGGAGAGTTGCAG